AAAATGGAAACCTTAAACTCAGGAATTTTTCTCAACTAAATGTGTCAACAACAACCTTGTAGCATGTGCTCAAAAATAACTCTGGATATCATTTCTTGGTAATTAAGATAGCAAAACCTAACTCAAACCAAAAATTTTGACATCATACTCAGATAATCTCGCAAAAATTTTGACCCAAAATAACAAGACAAAAATTAATCTCACGCATAATATGCTCACCACCCCCAACCAAAATCAGACAGTGTCCTCAATGTCTAAAAAGATATGCAATACGAAGAAGACAAGGAAAGAGAACACCTGGGTGAAGAACATTGGAACTAAGTCGAGCCGCCTGAACTGATTCTCCAAAATACAAATAAATATAAAAGCACACGAAATCAAAATAAAAGCACACAAAACAAACCAAATGAAACAAAGAAACAAAAAATATGTTACAAAAGGGTTAGAAGTAAACTTTTCAAGGTTGGTAAATCGGAGCCTCGAGAATGATCTCTTCAGCTTGGCTCACACGCTTAATGTAATGCTTTAGTCTCTAGCCATTGACTCTGAATACTCTCCCATCGCTTGGGTCCTTGACCTCAATAGCACCGTTGGGAAAAACTTGTTTCACCATAAATGGACCAGTCCACCGTGACCTTAACTTACCTGGGTGGAGATGCAAACGGGAGTCATAAAGATGCACCCGCTAATTTGGCTCGAAATTCTTTCTCAGGATCTGCTTGTCATGAGCCACTTTCATTTTTGGCTTGTAGATCCTGGAATTGTCGTATGCGTCATTCCTTAACTCCTCAATCTCAGATAATTGGAGCTTTCTTTGAATACCTGCAGCATTGAGATCAAAGTTAAGGGCTTTGACGGCCCAATAGGCTTTATGTTCGAGCTCGACAGGTAAATGACAGGCTTTCCCAAAGACAAGTCTATAGGGAGACATCCCAAGAGGAGATTTGTAAGCAGTGCGGTATGCCCAGAGAGCGACAAGAAGACGTAAGGACCAATCCTTGCGGTCAGGGTTTACAGTCTTTTCCAGAATTTGTTTGATCTCCCTATTCGCCAACTCAGCTTGGCCATTCGTTTGTGGATGATAGGCAGTAGCAACCTTATAAAACACACCGTATTTGCGCATAAGAGCCTCAAATGAACGGTTGCAGAAATGAGTGCCTTGATCACTGATGATAGCACGTGGAGTGCCAAACCTAGATAACACATTCTCC